CTATGGGTACCTGTCCTTCGTGTGGTGATTTAGACCCAGGCTCATGCCAGCAGCTGGAAGAAGGCAAACGCCACTCCCTCAGGTGCCACTGGTGAAAACTAGTCCTATGGCAACCCCTGAGGCACTCACCTCTTAGGAACAGCACTGAGCTACGCAAAGAAAGCATGAGGCTGGGGACACAGTGTACTGTCTCTGACACAGAAGATCACCTGGAGACCCCGGCACCCTGCAAGGAGAGTGAGGATGCAGGGAGGCCTGGAGCCTGGAGCGTCTCTAAGCCACCAGGCCATCCGGGCTGGAAGGCAAACAGATATCACAGGGACACCTTCAAGGCCTCAGAGCCATCCAATCACCCGGAGTTCTGGACCTGTCAGCACAACCCCTATCTGGGCAGCAGCTGATGAAATCCTTGAAAAGGACTTTCCTTGCACGTGGGAAAGATGCACGGTCCAGCCGCATCCTCCCGGCCCCAGGGGGACATCTGGCAAAGCGGAGTGAAGATATTAAACACAGAGTTCCCCAAAGACACAAAGACGAACTGTTCTTGAGAAATCCCGATATTGTTAGAAACAATATGTTAAAGTGTTTTATTAGTTAGTTACCTCTTGCCTGAGCATGAAAAAGATATTAACGTACTATTAGCTTACTGGGACAGAACCCAAAATAACTTACATTTTTCATATAGTGCTAATTATTTTTCTGAGGCTAGCTCAGGCTGGTAAGAGAGAGATTTCAAGGCTTTCACCAGATTATTTACTTAAAGAAGTTAAGCATGCCATTATCTGTTTCCATGGAAACACGAGTAAGTAATACAAGAGACAGAGGAGGAGGTCACTTTGACCATAATTAATATAAAGGATAATGGTTTATACGGAATCTAGGAAAGAGCACAGTGAGGTGACGTAATACCTTTAAACCCCTTCAGCAGGCAATTTCATCTGTGGATCAATTTTCATACTAGTGTCACTTTGGTAATTTTAGTAATCTAGTGCTAATTTTTAAAGTGTGATTTAATCTTGTTTAGCAGAGCTTTTTCAGTGTTGTTACTTCATTTTTGATCCAATCATAAAATTCCAGTAACAGTTTTTCTAAGGTCCTGAACGAGCACAAATCACTGACTGCCCCGGCCTCGCCCTGTGTCCGCTGCAGCTCCTTGCACGTGGCGTCTCAATCAGCAGTAGATTAGTGAATAAATTAATGATGATTTGGAAGCATCGCTACATTCAGCAGTGCCTTTAAAATCACCAAAGGAAAATTTAATTATCTTCAGAAGAGTTTACATTTAAAGTGTCTTATTGTCTTCTTTTTTTAAAATTGAAAATCAGTAATCCACATGTGGTAGCTGTTAGCGAAATATTCCATTTATTGGAACACAGTGCACTCCTTGGGGATTCTTACAAAAAGATGCATACTGTAGTATATTTTTAATCCTTACGCTTATTTTGAATAGGGGATTTATTGTGCAGTCTCTCAAGGGTAAATTTTATCATGGAAGCTTCATTATACATTTTTCAAAACCGTTTAATTTAATACAGTGTCCCAGAAAGAACTAAAGAGAAATGAAAGAGGGGACCTTTTAAGTTTGGAATTTTTAATACACTGAGAAATTATATTAAGTTAGAAATTATTAGGACTTTGTTTCTTTTAGTGTTCCCGTCCAAGAAACATAATCTAGCTTCTTTTGGGGTGGACTCAGTGCTGGCTGCAACGTAACGCTGAATAATGTTTACAAACAGGTGGCCTGGAGTTAAGTGGAGTCAATATACAATTTCTCACCCTTTAGAAGATAACCACTTTGCTGCCACATGAGTAACCACATTTTTTTTCAAATTTCTTGCTTGAAATCATTTAATCAGGAATGTAAATCAGTTATATGCCCAATTATAAAAACAGTGATGGGATTGGCTATGGTTTTGATTTTTTGGGGGTGGGGAGGGGGATGGGTAGAGTTACAGCTGCTGTTTTTTTAATATATATATGATGATATCACATTGCTGTTGCAGAAATGCAAACAACATTGTATCCTACTTGGCAGGAACTGTGGTCACTTGGCTTAGCTGAGACTAAGAACTGTCAGCAACACCATTTCACGAGCCAATAAGAGAACTCCTAAAATAATGGATGGTGCACTTTCCTATATGTATTTATGTTCAGATAATTTATTTAAATAATGTTGCTGGCACATGCTTTATAGCTGCTTGCATTTTCCTACACAGATTTCAGCATATCTTGCAGACTATGCAATTCATTTGGAAAATGTAATTTTCATCCCTGCATACTAATCGATTTCTTCACAAACACCTGCTATCAGTTATGATAATAAAAATGCCAGTCTGAATTGAGAAAGGGCCAAATAGAGCTTCCTAAGGAAATGACTTAAGTGTCTTTGAATGCTACTAAATGTAGTAATGTGCTTATGTAGTGCCAACAGTTTCTTCAGCATTTGCATTTTCCGTAATTTTGCCCCTATTATAACATCCCTCTCTCAAACGTTGCCTCATAACCGTTTCCTTGTGGATTCATAAACTGAATGTCAGGAGTTGGTGTCTCAGGGTGTGGGCAAGATCTGAAGTTGGGCTGCACAGTGTCAAAACACACTAGCTCATGTTTTTGGGTGTACCCTGGGTCATTTCTGATTTCATAACTCCCTCAAAACTGTAAAATCGGCTGACCCTTGGTTTTGCACCCACATATACACCAAATAAAATTACCCTTAATCATGCCCTTCAGCCTCCAGTTCATTCCACGCACCAGTGCCAAACTAATCACCCCAAATCACCAATTTCCTGGTGCTCCCACTGCCCAAGCAGCTTCAGTGGCTCTCAGTTGGTCGCTCCATTGAGACCAACTCTGCATCCTGACTTCTGAGCTTCCGTCCTCTCTCATCACCTGACCCTGTTCACCTATCTCTTTCTGCTTCCAGACAGACTCTTGCCTTTTGGGTCAAGCTTCCTCTGCTTCCTGCCCCAAATATTTTCTCTTCAGCATTTATCTCTGGACTTTTGCTTATGCTTTTGCGCCTAACTGGATGTCCTTCCCAGTTCTTGGATTTCATCCCTCGAAGCCACTTTGATAATTCCAGCATGCATTTTTCTTCCTCTTCTCTGGACTCCCTTAGGATGATCCCTTTGTCATATACCTTGACACTAAGTTGCTTATTTAGTCATTTAACCAACATTTATTGAGGGTTTACTATATGCCAGGCAGCAAGCTGTCCTCTCTTCCTTGGAATGTATTAGTTTCATTCAAATGTGTCAGTTTCTACTATGTTTTAAGCTCCTTGAGAGAAGAGACATATTCTGTCTCCTTTTCTGATCCAAGATCCCCAGGCAGGTCTGGACACAGAGTAAGTATGCGGTAAATGCTTGTTGACTAATTGATCCCTAATGGTTTGCAGAAGGGAATTTTCTGGTTCATTGCATGTTCTATTTGATTAGTATTTTAGTGTTTACTAAACATAGGTTGTCATTTTGAAAAGCCGAATACCATAAAACACTCAACTGTGAAACTATTATTAACATAGATTGATGTTTGATATTTGAGGAGAGAATTCACCTGGGTATCACAGTACCTCAGTACAGATCTGTCTTGTACGGCAATGTGCAGGTAGAACATCTGAGAGGCTGCCCTGGGCCTGGCTCTCCGATTGGGGTTGGGGTGGTGGTGGAGACGAGCGTGCTGTGCAGCAGGTCCACACCAGGCTCCCACAGGCCGGAACTTAATTCTAGGGAGAAGTTACTGATAACAAGCTTTTAAATTTTTCTTTCACTTTTCTCTTGCTTCCAAAAGTAGAGAATGAATTTTCTGTGGGAGAGAGAAAAAGGTGTGGAAAACTGGTGGGAGAGGAAGGGGATACAATGAAAGACTGCTTTTGAACAGTCTGGGAAGAACTGAACACATCTAGACTGGTCAAGCAGCCCGGGCACTGAGAGCAAAGACCGGAGCAGCAGCCCGGGTGTGAAGACTGTGCTGCTTACTGTGTGGGACTGAACAAGTTCTGTGACTTTCTGAGCCTCGTTTTTCTCATCCGTGAAGAGGGGATAAGAGCAGCACCCGCGTCATAGGTTTGGTGGGGGTTAGTTGTAAAAGTGAGTTAGTTCATGCGAAGCACTTGGCCCAGAGTCCATTATGTGGTGAGTGCTCAGCAAGCTATTATTCATATTGGAGAGACCACGAAGCAATTAGCTGAAATGTGGGGAAGGGGTTCCCCATGCTTAATTTTCTCTTTGATCATTCACTCTCCTCTTCTGTTCAGTTTCAGTTGTTTCTGAAGCCTTGATGTGTAAGACCCTGATAGACTATCTCGGTTTCTCAGTAAGATGGAGAAGTGACTGAGTCTGAGTCTACACATGGAGAACTTTAGGCTTCAGGAAGGAGTATTAGAGTAACCACTCAGCCTTGTAGAGAGAAAACGCAGCTTCATCTGTTGGTAAAACAGATGGAACTAGGTTACCATTCTGATAGGAGTTAGAGAAAACAATTTGTGCAATTTGTCTCAGCAGTAGAGCAGGGGGAATGGTGTGCATATAAATTCTGCCCTTCCCCGGGCTGCCGCTGCTACTCAACCTGTGGAGTTGCTGATTGTGTGAAAGACAGCGGCTCTCCAAGGAGCTCAGCGGCCTGCAGAAGGGGAGAGGACCACAGTGTGGGAGATGGGACTGTCGCCTTGAATGCGGATGCTGCTGTCGCTGAGCAACACATACAGACTTCTGAGAGGGGGGCCTAGGTTAGAGGGAGAGGTCAAGAGACAAAAATTCAGAAGAAATGAATCCTATGCCCACAGAAAACATTCATATGTAAGACAAGACAAATAGAACAGAGGAAAATTACAAAAGAAATGATGCTCACCCACTGCAGAGGGCCATGGAATAAGGCGTTTCGGTTTTACTTCTAAGCAGGTGCAGAACATTAGGAATTTGGGCGAGTCCCTTTCCCGCAGGAGGCCCCCTCAGTCTAAGCAGGAGGGTAACTCACCTGAACCCGTTCTGTTTGCCCTCCAGCACTGGCTGCTCAGGCCTACGCTCTTAAAGAGGAGAACGACAGTCTCCGTTGGCAGCTGGATGCCTACAGGAATGAGGTGGAGCTGCTGAAACAAGAAAAAGAACAGCTTTTCCGCACAGAAGACAACCTCACCAAGGACCAGCAGCTCCAGTTCCTGCAGCAGACCATGCAAGGCATGCAGCAGGTACCGGCCAGCTGTTCTGTTGGCTTTTTGTTTTGATTTTTTTAAAGGGATGTGGGCATTCAGTGGAAGCGAAATGACAGCCCTTTGCAAGACAGGTGAAGGAGAGGAAATGACAACTGAAAAGCGAAGTTTCTAGGACAGGAAAGTGCTGATGACTGTTTGTGGGAGGGTAGAACCTGGGGAAAACCACAGCTAAAGAAATTATGTTGGAGAAACACACCCTCGAGATAGGAAATACAGGAAGAAAATCTAGGAGATGGAAAGGTTTGCCTCTGAAACTGAGCCTCACAATTTTCATAATCAGAAAATCCCGATTGTGCCACAAGCGCTTTGTAGTCTTATAATTTTTAAATTAAAAGCTTGCTGACTGATTTTACAGAAGCATGGCAAGTTTGTTTATTTCCAAGATCAATGAAAACATAAGCTATATTGTTTCCTCTTCTTCTGTATTATAAATAGGATCTAGTCAGGTTCCATGAACACACTGCATATTTAAGACATGTTTGTTGATGGGATGAATGAAGCACTGGAATTTGGAGGAATGGACAGTTTTAGAAATAAGCCAGTGTCTGCTTTTGTTAAAGAATTCCAGACATCAACCTGGCACATTCAAGTTAAAGATGTGTATTTCCAGCAATTACTAGAAGGAGGCAGATGCTGTTGGCTTCTGAAGAAGGGGATGGAACACAGACTGTGGGAAATAAGTGGTAAAAACAAAGGGGGGGAAACTGGAGCCCTGGCAGTGGAGGAACCAAATTAAAGATTCATAGCTGGATTTATATCTGAAAACTTTAATTGATATCTGATACACTTAAGGTGTTTGTCCTTTGAGTTATCATAGAATAATATAGCATAAATTATCTTACATGGGTACTTTTTTTACCCCTCTGAATATGTAAATCTAACACTCTTTTCTGGCAAAAAAAAAAGAGAGAGATTGTTTTTATTTAAATAAGGGAAAGATAAGTAGGATCATGGGAAATTAAATTTCTGTATAATGAATAATATTTTTAAAAATTCTTCCATCCATATTGGCTGCTGTCTAAGATCAGGGGCATGACTTGCCTACCAAACTCTCTTAAGATTAGAAGTAGCTGCTGCAGAAATATTTGCCAAGCAGGGGAAAAATAATTGAGGGAAGGGGATAGGAAAAAAAGTGAGGATTAGGATATAAACAAGTTAATGACCAAGTCACAGATATTATGTCTTAAACACCTCCCACCATTTTAAAGCAATTTTTGAGTCTTGGCTTTGAGTCCTGGCTGGTTGATGTTCACAGTGTGTGTTAGACACATCAGTGAGATTCAGAGGTAAGAACTAGCCAGGAAAATGTCATTATGGTCGTTGTTCAGGACCCTGCATTTGGAAATCAGTGTAACAGCTGCTGTGCAAGGCTCCCACGTTATCCAGATGTCCCAGCATTGGGTGTGTGTTGCACCCTTGCCAAGAGGAGAGTCTGCAGATTTCCACAGAGACCACAAGCTACTCTGTCACACCTCCCACAACCGGCCCTCTTTTCTTCCAGGAAAGATTATCCTAATTGCTTTAAAAGTTGATAAAACATGTTAGGTGGTTGAAGATTCAAATCTGAGAAAAATCAGAGGAGTCAAGGGTAAGCTCATCAGTCAGGGAAAATTATGTTGGGAGTGGCAGCACTGGTCACTGGCAACCAACAGCCTGGTTCACACAGGAGCAGTGTTACAAACTGCCACCCACCTACAGCCCCTTGCAAGGAGTATTTGGTTGCTGCAGTTTCCCATACATTTGCAGAATCTTCTTATCAGTAGGAAACTTATTTTTGTTTGTTTTGGGGAATTTTCGGTTGGTTTTTTTTTGGTTTGGTTTGGTTTGGTTTGGTTTGGTTTGGTTTGGTTTAAGCAACAGAAATTTACTGTCTCGCAGTTCTAGAAGCTAGAAGTACAAGATTAAGATTTTGGCAGGGTTGGTTCCTCTGAGGGCTGTGAGGAAGAATCTGTTACATGGCTCTCCCTTAGCTTCTCATGGTCTTCTGATGATCTTTGTCTTGTAGACACATCATTTTGTTTTTGTCTTCTTTTTCACATGGCATTCTCCCTGTGTGTGTCTGTGTCCAAATTTCACTTTTTATAAGGACACAATTTATATAATATTAAGGGGCCCATGCATTTCAGCATGACCTCAGCTTAACTCATAATATCTGCAATGACTGTTTTCAAGTAAATTTATATTCTGAGGTACAGGGGCTTAAAACTTCAACATATAAATTTTAGTGGGGGAGATACAGTTCAATCAGTGACAGACACATAGCAGATATGTAACCAAAACCAAGATTTGGCTGCCTGCTGCCATGAAAGCCAAATTCATGAGACAGGTGCTGGTGAAAAAGGAAAGAGGTTTATTCAGGTGCTGGCCACCTGGAAGATGGGGGACTCTTGTCCCAAAGCCATCTTCACATCTCAGTGCAAGCAGAGGTTTTTATAAGGAGGGAGAAGGAAAGCAGAACAAGGAGATTAAGGGAAGGGGCTTTTAAAGTTGTCTACATGGAGACCAGCATAGTCCATTCTGATAAGGACCTAAAACTGGTCAAGTGATGATGTGATGTATGTCATACTGGTTTATGTCATCCTGGTTTTACAGTTGAAGGTCAGCAATTCTCCCAGAGCTGGGATGACTGAAGGTTGGAGCCTGTATCTTCTGAAGTTAGTTTCTAGGATTCTTATATAAACATGCTGTTTATCTACAAACTACATATTAGTCAGAGTCAGCATTTATGTAAACAATGTCAAAAGAATTGTGGGGTGGGTTACAGATAGTCAGAATATATTTGTTGAATGGAGGAAAGAATGGACAAAGGCACAGAAGCAAGAACTAGCATGGTGCCTGTGGGGAGCACTGGGTTATTTGGGATTCCTATGTTATAAACTGCAAGGCAGGGAGTGGTGAGAGCTGACACCCTGGAGATATAAATGTGTAGCACCTCCTTAGTACATGGGAAACACTAACCAGTGGCACCAGATATAATTTTAATTTTTACTGGTTGTTAGATAGATGCATGGCAATCTCTGTGGCAACCCATCTTCAATATAGTTTTAAAATATATGCGCTTGTTACGATTTATATTTCTACCTTAGCATCACTTTGAATAAATTATCACAACTTGATAATTTAAGAACGACTGCAAAGAATTCTCTTTACTTTGAAACCTACTTTCAATCTGTCTGCTATTCACTTTTTTTCTTGTTGTTGTTAATCCTCGCCCAAGGATATTTTTTCCATTGATTTTGAGAGAGTTGTAGGAAGGGAGGAGGAGAAGACAGAGGGGGAGAGAGAGAGAGAGAGAAACACTGATGTGAGAGAGACACATTGATTGGTCGCCTCCCACACACACCCTGATCAGGGCCAGGGATCAAACCTGCAACTCAGGTACGTGCCCTTGACTGGGAGTCAAACCCACGACCCTTTGGTGCATGGGCCAATGCTTGAACCACTGAGCAACACTGGCCAGGGCTGTCCGCTATCCACTTTTTAAATTAGAAAATCACGATCTTATGGGGAAGTCAGGAGATAGAGGAGGGGTTAGCCTCCCACATGTCATTGTTTTAACAATCCATCTGTGGGAAGTTATTTCTGTTATAAACAAAAGAAAATAAAGAGGCTTAACAGCCTTAGAACTAGCATACAAATTTTAGAGTTGCCTTCAAGTTTAGCCAAAAAGTTTCTAACCTGTCTTCTTTTAATCCCTTAAGGATATGTTCACTGACATCAGAGTTTCTCGTATGTTCATGAAGAAAACTTTATGGACAAAGTTCCTAAAAATGAAAAACCCTTGGGTGACTTTGTCTGGTTGTTTCTCAGTCTACCCCTATATTACATGTGAGTTATAATTTAATGGAGGTTTCAATAATAACTTGCAGCCATGGTAACACGGTAGCCTTTCCCTGATCTTAAGCTAGCAATGAAGTTAACCTGTCCTTTGCCACAGGGATAGTGAAGTTGTTGACTTTCATTTGTATTATTAGGTATACAATGAAAAATAATGCATATTTTTAAATTCTTATTTATCTTCAGATTTCCACACTGAATTGTTTTCTTAGGTTTATTGAGGTAAAAAATATATATGGTAAAAATACTATTTTTAGGGGTACAGTTCAATGAATTTCAACAAATTCATACACTCATACACTTATGTAACCACCACTACCACAGTCAATGTATAAAACAGCTCCATTATCACCAAAAAATTTCCCTTATGTTCCTTTTTATTTAACCTCACTCCCAGCAGCCACTGATTTGTTTTCCAACCTTGTAGTTTTGCCTTTTCCAGAATGTCAGAGAGGCGGAATCATACAGTATGCAACATTTTGAGTCTGGCTTCTTTCATTAGCACAATGAATTTGAGATTCATCCATGTTGCTGTATCAGTTCATTCCTTTTTATGCTCAATAGTATTCCATTGTAAGGAAGAGCCATAATTTGTTTATCTAATCATCAGTTAACGGACACCAGGGTAATTTCCTGTTTTGGGGGCAATAAATCTTCTGTAAACATCTACTTATAAGATTTTTGTTTGGACATAATTGTTCATTTCACCTTGGGTAAATACTTAGGAGGAAGATTGCTGGATCATATGGTAAGCATGTTTAACTTTAAGAAACTGATAAACTGTTTTCCAAAATGTCTGGACCATTGTGCATTCCCATGAGAGTACATGAGAATTCCAGGCATTCTGTGTCCCCATCAGTCAGCACTTGGGATGGTCAGTTTGTTTTGTTTTGTTTTGTCTTTTTCAGCCACTACAGTAAGTAAACAGTGGAGTCTTATTATGGTTTAACCACAACTCAGTTTAAACAATATTTGTATTTTCATTCTTGAGGATAGGTCACTGTCATATTTTTAAATAACCAACTTAAAAATCAGAATTCTTTTTGAAGCCATGTGTAAATCATATTGAAAGGACTAATATTCAGATAATAACAGGATATCATTTTAAGCTGCTGATCATAAAACTATGTGTGACTAAA